ACACCATGTAACAGAGTCCGCATCACACTGATAACACCAAACCAAAATCCTGCATATTGCACCACATTTGCTCTGACCTTCATATCATTGCGTTTTGCATCATGTTTTTTTCTCCCACACTGTTTATATTTGATCACTGCAGCACTTTATAATGGAAATGTTCTGAAAGCTATACAAAATGAAATTTCGTTTTGCATACACTCTGTGTATACAAAATGACAATAAAGGTTGTCTAAGTCTATGTAAGAAAAGTATTTTCATAGAGTTAAATGAATAAATTACAACACTTGTAATCTTAGTGTAAATAAAATGGATTTAAAATCTAAGTTAAGCTACTTTCCTCTCCACCCTGTTTTCTCAGCTGTCTTTGATCTACATTCCAGCCAACATAACTTGAAAAGGAATTTCCAATTAAAGAAATCTCCTAAGAACAACTGAACGGTGTTGAAACTCTAGGAATACCAGATTTAAAGAAAGATAAATATGAGTACAAACGGGTGTGATTGCTCCATCTAGTTCATAAAGATACATAATATATAAAAGACAAGCATCATCTGTGTGCATGCATCCACATACAATTTTAATAAGTCAGAGGCTTTAGATGAATGTGTGAAGGTTTCTGTCCAATGTGACATTCCTACAGACTGCCGATCGATGTGGTAAATGGAAGCTCTCCCTCTCTCTCGTTGCTCTCTTTGCCAGCCTCCTTTCATCCCACTCTACCCCACCTCTCTAGGCATGAGAATTGCAAAATCAATAGAGCTAAATGGAGTTGCCACGGAAGCCATTGAGTGTCCTTACTAAGTGCATCGGCTATAAAACCCCTCACTCTTCTCTCCCCCTGTTTACCACTCTCCTCATTCAACAATCTCCACTGCTCCTGTCCTCATTATTCCACACAAAGAAATACAGCAGCCGTAATTCATAGGTCACCACTTGGTTCTCAGAAACTCAAGGATAATGATAAGTAGTAGCAGTAAATTACTGTGTGAGTCAGATCAGAATTATTATGTAATAAAACGGGGAATATGAGAAAGGCATGTACGTTTAGAGCTCATCATAAATGAGAACATGTGAAACTTGCCTTCATTATACTTTTATATAGGCCAATTCAGTCTACAAGTATACATGGCACTGCAAAAAGCAATTTGGGACTGAATAGGTATTATATGTCTATGGGGAATTTGTAATAAGGATTGATACACTAGAGTTCTACTTAGTCTTTGTAGGAAAAGGACAGCACTCAGGTGTAAAGTATGTGTGTTTAGATGCAGTTACGGCAAATAGAGGAAATAAGGTACATTTCGCTAAAGTGATGGATCAGTTTAACAGTTATTAGGGTGTGATTGCTGGAAAGTTGTGAATCAATGCATCAACCAGATTTCCATTGAAAGAAGGTTTACCAATCTTATTAATATATTAAGGTAAACCTCCAGCTTGTTTTCTTTGTTGGCTCTGGTGTCTTTCATGTTCTTCTAGACAGAACCCCTAAGATTCTCTGTGGATTTTTGGTTCGGTGAGTTTTTTGGCCACTAAGGCATGGGGATGCTTGAGCCGAAAAAAGGGTAGAGTGCCTTCTCTGGGTTGGGGAGAATGTCCTGCCCCTAGTGGAGGAGTGTAAGTATCTTGGGATCTTGTTCACGAATGAGGTAATAAGGGAGCGGGAGATCAACAGGCAGATTGGTGCACTGTACCTCTCTGTTGTGGTAAAGAGAGAGCTGGGCCAAAAAGCAAAGCTCTCAATTTACAGGCACTTTGGGAGCTGGCCCAAGTGGCTGGGGAGAGTGACGTCTGGGCCTCCCTACTGAAGGTGCTACCCCCTCAACCCGACGCTGGATAAGTGGATGGATGGATAGATGAATAAAGCATGGGGATACCATGGCCACTAAACTAGGGACCAGCACTTTTGGTAGTGTGGGCAAGTAACCAGTCCTGCTGATAATGTAAACCTGGCTGCATCTCTAAATACCTTGTTATCAGAAGAAAGCATGATGTGCTGTAAAAATTCCTGGTAGACCATTGGGTTAACTGTGGAGTTGATAAAAAACTGTGGATCTACATGGCTCCTGGAATCACATTGAACCTCGATGGACTGGGGGATCTTAAGATAAAATTCAAAATGTACTCTCATTAAAAAAAACGATTGCAGAGCAACAGTCCTCTGTTTTTTTACTCCAACATAGGTGAGAAAGTTCTGAAATTCTTTCTGGTTAAGTGATTTCTCATCCAGAATGCGACCTCTGTAGCACATGTCGTCGATGTGTCTGAGTGCCAGGGTTCCTGAAATTGGATTTAGCTGCATTACATTCCCCAATAATCTTGTCCAGTCTTAAATGAAGTTTGCTCTTTTTTTAACTTTCGCTTTTGCATGTTCTCAGCCATGATCTATCGTTTCACTTTAACTAGAAAAGGTTTTTTGAAGGTTTTCAATGCGAAGAAGATGTCTTCTGGACAGCTATTCATTCAGTAGTCTTTTCCATGATTATGTGGATCATAGCATTTTTTATTATTTCAAAAATCTATCTAATGGATGTTTGTAACATTGCAATTAATTAGCTCTAGACCATAATAATCTAAATGACAAAAAATCAGTGCCTGACATATATCATTTGGTGTAATGGCTCTAGATGTTAACCTCAATTATCAAATTAAATTAATGTTTAATGCCCCACAGAAACAGGCTACTTAGCGTTTGAAGGTTTGATGAAGAAAAATCAGTTTTATATAGTTTAGATAGATTCAAAAAACATATAATATCAAAAGTAATAAACTAGACTTTTGTTTTTTGTTTTCATCTTTAGGTATTTTCTTTTAAGTGATCAGGTTCAGTTCTCTGGGCTTTCCGAAGGTATTTGAAACATTTCTAAACAATAAGAAAGGTAAATAACTGTAAAAAAAAAAAATAAATAAATAAAAGAAGATGATTCAGGCCTAGAAGAAGGTCCAGATGGCTAATTAAACTCTTTAAAATCCTTGTCTTTACAAAAGAGGACCAAAGGGATGCATCATCCTTCAGTCTATCAACCTCTTTATGCCATGTTTATCATCCAGAGGAAATATTACAAAATAAATGTATAATATTGGTCCAAAGCAAATAAGTAAATTCGCCATATGCAGTACCACTTTGTCTGCCTTCAAGTTTTATATTAACTTCATAATATAAATGATAATATAGATCAAAAGAGTAATTATAGTTGCTCAAAATACCTTTAATTCAACGCTGAATTACTTTAGGTAAAGATTAAGAGCATAACAAACAAGACTGTTTAATCAGCATTAATTATTAGGTATGTATCCAATTTCACACATCTTTCATGCAAGCACAGTTAAAAGCAATTGTTTGTGTATTGTTTTTGGATTTAATGACTGTTTCTGGTAAAATCTTCAACTAGAGCATAAGGAAAACAAAGAGTCTGTCTACACACTATACTAGCATTACTGTTTGGTATCTTATCTCTTAAAAGTAAAGTGAGAGAAAAAAAACTTTCACAGAATGAATGACAACAGAGTAATAGAATAGAAGAAGAGTCGGGAGGTTGTTTGCTTAGAAGACTGCATTCTGCTGCTTGGATGCTATTTCTTTGTCATGTTTACCTCCACAGGCTCCAGGGAAAAGAACAGCAGATGGGAAAACCATTTTTTAATCTACCTTTGACCTAGACCAAACAAATATCTGTTTGAATGGTACAAAGGAGGAACAGGGATTTTTTGAACCAGTGACCTGCAATAAACCTTTCTTACGGTCCAAAGAATATATACACTATTAGTTAACTTCACACGAGAAAATGGATTTCAGCTTGAAATGAAAAAAAAAAACCTTACAAAAGTGCTATTTAATTTTATAAAGTTGCAGGTATGAAACTTTCTCATGCTTCATGTTTCTACATGTTTTAAATATATGAGGCAAAACTCTGATCAAATCCAGAGCAATTAACTACTTTTAGAATCCAATTTTAAACAGAGTGAACCTTTGTGATGTCAGCTGTTCAAGGGTTCAAGGATTCGTTAGAAATCATTTACAAACAGGATTATAAAGACAAACACAGTTAAAAAAAACAGATAAGGCTGCAGAGATATTTAAGGAGAATTCGATCCAAACAAGACATGGTATCCATCTAAAGGGACAAGACGAGAGTAGTATAGCATTGTTTAGAAAATTAAAAGTTTTCCGAATGAGCTGCTGGGATACACAGCTCAGGTGGACGAATTTGACAACAGTACAAATTTGGGGCATCCATTCAGCAAATCGAACCTTAATAGATGGCAAAAAGAAATCTTTTCAGGAAAGAAAAACAAGGAGCCTTATTTATAGCTTTAAACTTTACCAAAAGCATTTTAATTGACAAAGAAAACACTTCAAAAAAGTACGGTGCTCAAAAAAGGGCAAAATTTAACTTTTTGTGGCCTATAAGCAAAATTACTTTAACTAGATAAATAATACTTTGCATCAATCTGAAATACACAAACAGTGGGAATGAAATGCTTCAGCAGACATAAGAAAGCTGGTCAGAGTTTTTGTCAAAATGGATGGTGCGAAATAGATGACTATCTAGGGGACCTTTGTGACCTTCCCCTGTAGTTGGAAAACATAATATGATGCAACTCACTTTCAAAACAAAATCTCTCTAAAGAAATGAATTTTTCCTGAACATACTGTAGGTCCAAAAACTCTCCAGGTAAATGACAGATAAAATAGATCTTCTGCTGAAAGAGCCATTAACCAGAGCTAAATAGACCTTCCATCCTTGATGTGGGAAATGTGTGTTTTACTGAGTTAAACTTTTAGCATAAGGGCGTCTGCTACTCTCTTATCTCCCACTGCGAGTGGAAGAAAGTGACGGAAGGCCTCAGGTAATTATAGGGGAGAGCATTTCTCCTAACTACACAAATAGCGATGGCCCTTCACTTGCAGAAAATAATCTCCCTCTGTTTAAGACGGGGCACAGACAAGCCTGCGCGTTTAAAAGCATGCACTCACACTTCTCATACAGCCTCCTCACCTGCTCCAGTTTCCAGTGGAACTCAGCGGGCCGGTAAGTGTCGATCTGTGTGAAATCTCTTCTCAGCAGGAACACCAAGCGGCAGTTGTGAACATACAGAGAGTAGTGGTGGCGGTTCATCTCTGCAACAAGTATTTCAAAATATTGCATCGTCAAACAAGTGCATGCATATAAACTCCTTCAAAATGATCATTGTTTCCAAAATAATATAATGCATGCATTTTTTTTTTTATTCCTCTAAATGCATTCTTGTTATTACTTAAAGTACAGATTTTCTTTATGTTAAACCCCTTGGTGATGAACCAAAGTTTGCCTTTATACATCAGAGAAATAATATGTTAAAAATTTCTGATGACTAGCATAGGGTATACATTTAATTATGCACTTTAAGCTTAAAATGCATACCTCAAGCACAAGTGATGGTTTCCCATACTGATGGTTGTCATAATTACACAGTGACATCTATGCACGGGAGCCTCTTTTCTGTCATTGAGCCCCAGGGTAGCTGTGGCTAGAATGTAGCTTACCACCATCAGTGCGTGTGTGTGTGAATAAATAAATTAATGTAGTGTAAAGGGCTTTAAACTTCCCTAAATTGAAAATGCCATTTAACATTTTACAAGTTTTCTTGAACTTTTGTGCTTCTTCATATCTGAACTATCTAATAGTCATCAGTCCCTCATCTGTTTGCCTCGGTATTCCATCTTTCTCTGCATTCATCCCACGTTTAATGTTTCCCAGATCAAACCCAGTCGTACCAGCACATTGGGCCCTCCTTCTGAGCCCCTTCCTTCCACCCAAGATGTGGATGGACATCTGCTTACACCGTCCGCCGGATTGTTGACTCCCGTCGGCGAGGTGGTGAGTGACAGTACCTCGTCGACTGGGAGGGCTACGGTCCGGAGGAGAGTTCATGGATACCCGGCTCTTTTATTCTTTCAATTCTGTCTGCACACCTGTTACTCATTACCTAATCATCCTGGAGCTTAAGAGGAAGCAGACTGCCAGCACCTTGTTATTTGAGTATTTGCCAGTTATGGTACTCTGAGCCCCCATAAAGATACTCTCTGTGTTACTTTCCTTTAGACAGACTTATAGTATCTTGTTGTCCACATTCTCTCAGGTGTTTCCTTGTGACGCCATGGATCCTCCTTGTGAAGACCTAGATATGGTTTTCTTGATTCTCTCTCCTTGTGACACCGTGGACTGTTACCAACTGGTTGCCCAAGTCCCTCCATTAACTCCTCAGCTTGATTATAAGCAGTTCCTGGTTTCTCCAGCTGGCAGTCGGATAACTCCTCTTTCTTCCTCCAAGTCTGAGTAAACCTGTTCGCCCTCCACCCAGACTCCACATCATCAATCTGAACTCACTCAGCCGAAACCGCTCTCTGGAACCTGGACACTCAAAAAGGAACCAAGACCACAAACCACATTCCCCTCCATTCTGGGTGAAGGAAAGCTTCAATCCAAGTAAGATCTGTTTTTTTAAACTTCTCTCAAAGATCATATTGCCGACAATCTCAAACTCATCTTCTCCCTTTTTCTTCTCAGCAGTGTGCAGACAACTAAGTGTGCCCTCCCTCCAAGGACCCAAACCATTTACTGAATTATTTCAACTGTTAAAATAAACTTGATCTATCTGATCCCCTGTTCTCCTGTTGTTCTGCATGTTGGTTAAGAAACTGGAAATCTGTATGTGATATTTTGAGCTTCATTTATTATCATTATTAAATTATTATAATTAAAATTTCAAATAATATTTAGATTTTGTACTTTTTGGTGTTTAATTATAGAAAAATTAAGGAAATCTAAGTTGTTATTAAGGGAGAAGAAAAAGTCTTACTTAAAGGGAGATAAGGGTCAATACAAATATCAATGTCATATCAGGCTCCTACATCTTATCATTAAGTTGATGTGATGGTTATTTTCCCACCTGTCTTGTCAGAGTTGCACAGTATGGTTTCCTTTGCAGCTCTAAGTCCTGGACTTGGTCCATGTTTCATCCATGTTGCTATGGTGAATTGGTCTGTCAGGTTCTGGGGCACCACGTGATCTGGAACATTTGCAGCCTGGTTCCCGTCAAACCTGTAGATGAGGTCGCTTTCACGTCCACTGTCAGTGAGAAGAGATGCGGTCCAATTTGCCGAGGGGCTGGGGGCAGGAAGGAGGTCGGTGCTGCCTGACGCTGCACCTTGATGTGCCAGTCAGAAGATATAACAAGGACAATGTATTTACAGGTAGTCAGTCTGGAGGAAACTACATAAAAGATACAAATGGTCAAATACCTTAATTCAACAATTCTAATATCTAAATACATTTTAAAAATGAAAGGACTGACAGAATAATAAATATTCACTTTTTTTATAATAATGAAACAGTCTGTATTGCTCTATCAAATAAAACTCACTGGAAATAGAGTGAAGTTATTGGTTGCTTTGTGGCAGCAGGTTCAAGAAGTTGAATACTTTTGCAAAGTATTAAGTAAGAATGAATGTTTCTAGGTATGAATGGATGGTTTAAAAAAAGGAAGTTCCAAATTAAAGTTTAATCAAATTCAATAAAGGTCATTTAAACAGTGTGCGGGATTGAATTATTATTATAGAAATCAGTCTACTGAGAAGGTTAAGATGTCAGGAGGCAATTTTATATCTGAATTAAAATTTAATGCATTCATAGTCCCTTACTGTTGAAAAGCGCCTCACTATTTCAGTAAAACATTCTCCCTCCTTGCTTTATAGTAATCCAACTGCTTTTCTTTTTCCTTTGTAGCTTTACTTACCACACAGTTTCTGCAAAGACTTTTCAGAGTAAGTTTCACGGTCGCAGCCCTTTCCAATGTGATTTGTCTGCAGCTCCACCATGGCCTTTACTCCGGACAAGGGCCCTCCACATGTTTCCAGGTGCATCTTGGGAAATAGTTGTTTGCTTCCAGTCCCTGGCTCATAATCCACTCGCTTGTTCCAGCCTAAAAAAAAAAAAGACACTTGAAGAGTATGTGCATGCTTGTTTGAAGCACTTAGCCTTCACCTTAGACATCAAGATCTCAGTCTTCTTATAAGATGGATTTTTTGGGGGAAATTTGTATCTGTTATTTGCTGAAAGTGAACGATGCAGTGACACAAGTACTAATGAGGTTGCTGTGCCAAAAGGGCTGTTAAAGATAGCTCCCTTGCTTTTTACTGCCAGCTGGACAGCCAGTGTAATGTAATGCAGTTTTTTTTTTTAACTACCAAGTTGTTAAGACTTTTATTCAGTGTGTACTAAAATGCTTCTTTTGGGGCAATGGAAGAGATTGAACATGCTGATTCTGCTCTGTGCATGTCATATCAGTGATATCAAGTCTCCTGAGGAAATTACTGAGAGAAACAGATTGTGATTACAGTGGTAGGGAGAGATGATGGGGATTCCTCATTATTGAGAGAGATTTCCTAAACAGCAGCTGCGGAAGCTTTGCTGACCTTTGCGCATGATGAAATAGGTTACAGAGGAGAGCAGAGAGAGCTTGCGTTAAATGCATCCCTGCATTATGTTTTATTCATGGTTTTAAGCTACGAGAGGGTAATGGTTTTACATTAAGCTTTGCATGGGTTAATGGTCCTGGTTTATAGCCACTTTTATGAGACAGAATTTGAAAAAATAACACAACATTGGTAAGGATGCGAGCACAATAAAGAGGCCTTTTTTGTACCAGATGACATTTTTAGATACATTTTCTCAGATCTTAGAAAAAATTAAAAGAAATAACTACAGTTTATGCTAGTTTCATTACTTCTTCCGTGACAGTAGCCTGACTTGCTAACTGAAGGAAACACATTTTTTATACCTGTACTCAGACTGGTTATATTGACCTACATTTTATGCAGGAACTGCCCTTCACATTATGAATATATGTGCTCATATTTTATGAGATTTTATCTGCGGTGTCACATCTGTCTCTTCTACTACTCTAAAGTTGTTACAGAACAAAAATATTTATGATCCATTTTTATAGCATTTTAATCTTTCACTTAAATTTAGAAACTAGTATAGAAGAGAATAGAATAGAATGGAAAACCAACCCATTTACAAATATGTAAAATGAAAACAACTATGTGAATAAGAGGATGGATGTAAAATCGCTTACGGAGCAGGTAAATACTGTGCAAAAATCAGATAAATCTGTGCAAATTAAGGCAATGATGCACACAACACTTACTAAGCATATAAAAACTATGTTACTAACAGCATGGTTGTAAACATTTGTTGAACCTGTAAGGAGAAGTTGAGATTATAAAGACTAACAGTCGCTGCAAGAAAGGATCAGCAGTAGCAACACTTTATGTACCTTGAGTGCAATGGAGGACCCCCGGTACCAGGGATGTCCCGATCAGATATTGATCCAATATCAGCCAAAGATCTGATACCGAATTATATCGGCTTGCATCTGAAATCTCAGATATTAGTATGCTGATATGAACACATTGCTTCTGTTTGAACTTAATCAGTGGTTTATAGCACATGGGTCAGTTGTTGTCATACCTATTGGGGTTGACGAATGTTCTTTGATTAATGTGACTGAACAAGCCTTTTTCATTCCACATCCTACACCACAGAATAAGTAATGTGGGGTGACAGTGGCGTCAGATGAATTGGTTTGCCCTGCAACTGGAGGGTTGTGGGTTCAGTGTTGTTGCTGTGTTCTTGGGCAAGACAATTCACCTGCATTGCCTACTTATGGTGGTCAGAGGGACTGGTGGCACCAGTGTTTGGCAGCTTGGCTTCTGTCAGTGAGTCCTCTGACTTGAAAAAGCACTATATGTGTACAGCCCATTTAATACAAGTATGTATAATTAATGCTGATATTGTATTAGGCTAATATGGGTATCAAAAACTAAAGCTGCAATATTCTATCGTATTGTAAATCAAGAAGTTGTATTGGGACATCCCTACACTCAGGAGGTAAACTCTAAGCCTTCTAGTAAAGAGCATTAGTGTTGTTACAGCAGTCCAGTTCATCGCTAAAGATTGTTACAGTCCAGTTCATTGCTAGAGATTGTTACATTCTGCAAGAACAAAGAACTTTTTCTCGGTATCTCTGGGGACAGTGGGTGGTTTAAGCCTAAAAGTTAAAAGGGAAAAATCATCCCTGCTTTGCCGTTTTAACAATATTCATGAAAATGCTGACTTTTTGTACAATTTTTCTTGGAAACTCTTCAGAAAAAAAGTTCTTTCTAGATGATATGTTGAGAACAAGCAGCGAGAAACCTGCAGCCAGGACCCACAAGACACTTCTGTGAGAATAATTACATTATTTTGTTCTTGCAGCTGTGGGAGGAAGAACATTTTTTATTTGTTCTCCTCGAGTATGTACTGTATTTCAAGAGTCCACTATCTTAAGTTCCCAGGATGTTTCCTGGATGCATATGTTCAAAGAACTGCTATCTAATTTTATTTTATCACAAAGACACAGCTTGGTCTTAGATGATTAAATATGTAAAACAGTTCCACTTAAACATTTTTTTAGTAAGATTGTATTAACATCGTAAGTTTGTTTCATTTTTATCTCTCTCCTATCTGTTCATTCTACCTCTTCCTTCATCCTGTTCTGCCTCTACTCCAATCGTTCTGTCTTTCTCATTCCTGCATGAGCTTGATTCCTGAGATGCTGTCAGAGCAGACAGGTGAAGCAGCAGGGGAGATGGGTTGGACTGAATACCAAGCTGTTGGCATGTTAAGGAAGAAGAAAAGAAAAATGACCAGTCTAGTCAGCTTTCCCTCCTGAGGTTTCTGTCAGGTCCTTTGATTTCCTTCAGAGACATTCTGTCTAAAATGAGAAAAAAGTTCCTTCACAATGGAGGGTATGCCTTTAAGAGTGCTCTGAATGGCAATCTTGAGTTTTGCATGCATTTAGGTAACTGAAGGCAATAGATAAACACATCACACCAACATACTAATCAGCGATTTTAAACCAAGTATTTCAAGGTTAGACATCAGGAGTGAATTACACTGTTTGTTTCTGACCTTGCCATCCTGGTTTGCAGACAGGCTTGACTTCAATATGTACCACCACATCCTCTTTGGCTTTCTTCTGACCGCAGTCAAAGGCAGATACCATAATCCTGTAGCTCTGCTGCTTTTCATAACTGAGTCGCTCTGTGTTTCTGATGTTACCTACGGGGTAACAAAAAAAAGAAGGGGGATTATTTTTAAACTGAGGAAACTACAATTATATTCCGAGTTAAAGAAAGGCAGAAGCAAACTGTAGCTGCAAGGGAAATAATGTTAAGCCTGATGTCACAATTGACTGAACTTGTATTACTTTTTTTTTTGTTAAAACCTCCCTGTAAAATTTTCATACAAAATAGGATGAATAGATGGTCTCAAGTCACTGGCGCAGAGTATAAAAGCAACGAGATAAAAATGGTTTGATGTCACTGCCTTTAAAAAAGCAAACTTATAAGTGAATTTAAAAAGCAATCTGAGAAAAATGTGCTTTCTTTACAACGATATATTCATCTTTATGTGATCATTGATCTAGTAAAGCCGTACAGCAGCTGCTATCATGACTGAGAGGTTTGAATTTTTCAAACTTCAGCAATTAATTCTTGTTAATGAATGCTGAAAACATGTAAGAATACTTTTCTTCCCTCATGATTTTATTCATATTCTTTAATAGGTTTCTTTATTGAATTAATTGATTGCCTTTACTTAGTGGCTTAATTTAAGCAACAAATGTAATGGTGTTTTGGTTTGTGATTAAGAAGCATATAAATGTATGTGGCGTGACAGAAGGCTGTTGGTTGTCGAAGACGTGACTATAGGCAAGTGGAAGCAGAGTTGGAGAAAAAACATAAGTATGTCTTATAATACAAAAGTCCAGAAATATGAAATAAGGGTAATTCATTAAAATAGAACTAAAGACAAACCAAGAATCTGGAGGGAAGATGATTGAGGCAGAATTACTAAAAGAACATAAGAACATAAGAACAGGAAATTCTTGAGTCTAATGAGCGACGTGAAAGCAGCCGAGGATATTCAGAGAAGAGACACAAAAACATTAAAGAGAAGTAAAGAAGGGACTAAACACCAACAATAAATTAAAAGCAGTATACCAACTAAATCAACCACAGAAAAAAGAATTCAAACAAGAGGAGACTGGAAAACTCAGCAACTGTCATTTCTAACTACAGAGGCTAGATTAACAGACTGGTAAAAAAAAGAAAACTCAAAATGCAGAAAACTTAGCTACCAAAACATGATAAATAATACATCTTCTATTACTTTATCAATGAGACGTCCCAGTATGTTCTATGTATCTAGTATCTAACAATCTAACTTACATGAAGTAGTTAAGCAAGCCTGCTGCAAATATTTTCAGATGCGTGGTACAATTTGAATGAAATTACATCTTTTACTCTTTGTCATGATACACATTAAATACAAAAGCACCACAAACTACACACCCTTCATAGACTTGATTCATTGCTTCATTTTTGAACTCAGGTACATTGTGATTTTTAATACACTGACTTAGACGGATAGATATGAAACAGTGCAATGATGTGGCAGACATATTTGGATATGCTATCCTCTAAGCTAAAGCCATTACTGATTCTTAGTAGGTTTTTCATTATAGAAGGTCAGTGGTAACACAACGCCTCCAATCTAAATTTCCTGAGAAAATAATCATCCCCTTCTCTATAATGCTCACTACAGACTTTGCTGCAGTTTAAAGGTTAATTTAATGGTTTTCACTTGACAAGGCAGAAGTATGCTTTGGTCTTTATTTTGCTTTGGTCTTTATTTTGGATAACCGTTATTTTGGGACCATTTAATCTGCAAGCAGATTAAAAACAAAATTTTCATATCATTCTAAAAGAATCTTACATCAAAAATACAAATTATGTCACTAAGGGCAGTTTATGTTTTCAATTTATAAACTAGTTTTAAAGGTATAGTGGAGGATTTTTAAATTTTTTTGAAAAGACCCGCCCTCTACACTTTAAAAAAAAATGCACATGAAAAACCATGTATCTGCTCCTGAGAGGGAACGCATATTAAACACGTGCGAGAGCATACCAGAGCCCATTTCTCCTCCACGCGATGTTTAAAAGCTGCTGTTTGCATTGCTCATATAAGGCTACTTTCCAAAAGAAGATTTGCAATTTTTCCACTATGTCATACTCATCTAACTGGTTTATTTAAGCCATTGTCTCTCCAATAAAATTAAATCTACATCTAGCATTAGGTACTATTTTAGAACAACTTAATTACTTTTGGGATCCTTTACACATAACAAAGTAGCCACTATTCTCAAGAACAAATCTAACCAATAACTACTGGCTTACTCTGCCCTCCTATCTGTATCTTTCGGCCTGTAAGAAGAGTAAGTCAGACTGGTGTCAAACGCGAAGCAAAATACATGAAGATCAAAATCACAAAGCAATAAGACAAAAGATATTAATAAAAGCATGAACCACCCCGAGAGAGGAGAGCATCTGTGGAGAAAGTGTGTTTTTGTCTGACTGAACACATTCAGAGAGAGAAATAAATACAATTTCAGTCTGCCTTTGGCTTGAATTACGCTGCATTCAGATCAGCCTTGGCTAAGGGCAGTCTGAATCCCAAAGTAAAATTTCATACTGACAGATATGCTTTAAAAAGTACAAAAGAGAACACCGTAATTCAAGCAGATAAAACAGGGGGGAGGAAATAAGTGAAAAGATAGAAAACAAGTGTATCTAATTTTGGGGGGAAATTACAGTACATGTACTATGAATAGATAAAAGCTATCAAATTCAAAACTACCAAACCTTGAGAAATGCTGTTCAAAACTCAACAAAATTTTTTTTTATTGTCAGCCTTCACAGAGTGTCAAAGGACTAGTCTTAAAGTTGGCTTTACAACATCGATACTTAGCAGTGCTTTTTATATTTACACAAGGTTTGGGAGAATTCAGGAATAACATTTACTGTACAAATAAGATAACTACCATTTTTCTCAAGTCAAGCTGTTAAACTAAAAATCTAAACTTATTTTATTAGAAATACGTTTTCTAAGGATGCCTTATTTGTCAATATTGGCATTTGTTTGACCTTAATCTTTTATTTTTTTTGTGGTAAGACCTCTTGGTGTGTCTGTTATTAGTCAAACACCGTAATGCACGTCACACTGTTACCAGCTCAGAGACTTCTGCAATATTTAGTAACTTTATAGATATCTCTAGTGACTATAGACAAACCCACCATTTTTTCTCTGTGTTCTGGGAAACTTTGGCGACAGAGAGAACCGATTGCTATATAGTTTTGTTCATAAAACTCTGAGCTCACTGTGCTACTCAGTTGAGCAGCAAGCTGTGTGCAGACAAACACTGGATGGAGAGACAAAGTCAGCGGCACTTCCATTTCTACAAAAGCTGCGGCTTTCTGTTGAGAAATGCTTTTCATAAGAGTTTAGATTTGTTTCCAGAACCAAACCCGAAATTCCAGGGGGTCAGTCTATGATGTCATACAGGACGATGGGATGCAAGTCAGGTTTAGATCAGGCTCCAAGTTTTTCCTTAATATCTAGGAAGGATGAAAAATGTTTCTTTACTCCATAACACTTACCAATGGTAAACTTACCATTTCGATCTATGGCAAATGGTGTTCCCCCAGTGACAATTTCATAGTTGCAGATTTGACTGTACTGTGGTGAACAGTCCTGGTCCCAGGCTTCCACCTGAAATTTTGTTAAGACAATGTTTAGCAACGTCTAGACTTAGAGAAATAAAAAGATTGATATTTACAAAACTGTTGTGTGTTGTTCCAAAAGCCTTTTTCCCAAATACTTATACATATCACTTAGAGTAATAATATAAAACTTTGAGTAACTAATATAATATTGAATTAACTACCTGTAAGATGCTGTCGTAGATTTTGCCTTCAGTCACTGATGCCTTGTAGAGTGACTCTCTAAACACAGGGCTGAATTCATTGACATCATCTACCTGAATGTGAACCACAGCCCTGAAATTTAAAAGGAAAAGATGAAAGAATTGTCAAAAATATGAATGAAATATGAAGCCTGGATGGCCAACATAAGTGAACGAGGAGGATGATACAGGAAAAATGGGTCTATAAAAAGAGTTTGAAAAAAGGAAAATCTGAATCACGAATGGGGACACCTCAAGTTTATTTTCTTGTCAAATGTGCATGGATGAGAGTGTGCCGTATTCAGGGGCCCACATGCAACAAAGTCGAAGCATTTGTTTGAGAAGAAAATTACAGCGTGCCAACACAATGCTGGCACATCTTCTGATGAGATCCTAGAGTGTGTATTGTATCTCTCAACCAAGTTTATGTCATGAGATCATTTGAAAAAGAAAAAAATATATTAAAAAAAACCTAAATTATATATGCATTCAAAGCTAATTGTGTTCTTAATTCACTGACGTAAAACACAACTGCAGTACAGATTTGGTTTTAAAGAATCTTAATGGATGATTAGAAATAAGGAGTCAGACAGAGAACAGTGATTGTGTTGATTACTGTGATTCTGAAGCAACGCTCCCAGAGCCGACATTGAGACGAACTGACAAAGATAGAATGAACGAAAAAGAGAGGGCAAGGCCAGAGTCTGCACACCAAATCTGAAGGATTCAATAGGAAGCTTTGCATAAGTGGAGGCTTAAGAAATGTTTCTGTATTGTAGAACAAACCTTTGAGTTGACTTTGCTTAGTTAAGTAAACCTGAAAAAATCTATTTTCATTTGATATTATGGTTTCTTTCTCAGACAATAATATTTAGATTTTTTTAAACTTTAAAGAAATTGATCCTCTAAACTGATGTTGCATTCGCAATATTGACAGTGAATCCAGCACAAATTTTAGGGGCATGATCAGCTGATGTTCAACAGTGGAAACTTAAGTTTAGTGGAGCACACCGCTGTAACACTGGTCATTTAGTTTTAGAAACAGGAGAACAACTCTTTTGTTCAAACAAGCTATATAAAAACAGAAGGAAAACTTTCTTAGTGTAGGACTTTGTCAAAGATCCCAAGCACAGTAAAAAGGTTAGCTTTATACCTTTACATTTAGAGTCATCTTGTCATTTATTTAATTATGTTTATTCATTTATTTTGAACATGAAAAAAAAATAATGATGAAAGAACAGTCATCACAAGCATGAAAGCCTAGATAACCCTCATTTATATCCTTAGCCTCTTAACTCCCACCTTCTTGTTGTTTTGGCACACATATTGCATATTCAAGTGCTATTTAAGTGCTATATAATATTACAAACTCCACATGGTTGTAATTTATGTCATTTGGAAGTTAAGATCTTCCAGTTTGTAAAGATATGCATAGAGACTCTAACATTTACACAACTTCAGCTATTTACCTTCAAAGGTTTACTGCAAACAGTATGTTATTGTCAAAGTTTGATTTCTCACTTAGGCTATGTCCAAACGTCCATTTTAAATTAGTGTCCTAAAGTCTAGCGTCTGACACAAAATATCCCACAATGCACCTTGAGAAGTAGTGTACATCAATGGTCACTAGATGAGTAAATATACTCCACAATACTTTTGAACAGCTCTGCTGGCATAGCAACATGGGATTTGTTTTGGCGGCATTAGAGAACAAAGATGGCACAGATCCCATGCGAGGAGCCGGAGTCACATGACACCTCTGAATGTTTGGTTAACCAAGTGCACAATTAGGTCCACTTTATAGTCCCTGCTCTAAATAGGGATCGATGAGTTAGGGGTTAGGGTGGTCTTTGGACACACTCTTAGTTGTGCTACACTGCTTCAGCTAGCAAAAGAATATAGTGATGCATTTGCCTACCGATTGTATTTCTTATGTGCAGGACTTTTCCGTAGTATTCTGGATACTGAGAATTGAACTTATTACTTTTGGCAGAAAACAAATTGGTGAATAAGCCCTTATTATCTTAGATAATTTTAAACAGCAGACACGTCTTGTAAGACACATAAAATATGTGCATTTATTCTTATTTTTTTTACTTTTTTATGGGAAACACAACTGGATATTACTTTTCTGTAGATGGTTACAGAAATGTATGCCAGGGTAAAACATGTTAAGGAAAAAAACAAAAAGGGGAAATTATTAGTTCAGATTTAATGACAAATTATTAGTTATTAGTTTATGGAGTATGTTTGGCTTACAGTTGAGTTGATGGTTGTTTGCTTTAGGATTGCCTGATTCTACAGAGGTACAACATGTTGGGTTTTGTTTAGAAATAAGCTTGCTTTTTGATGTGGGACAAAATGTGACAACAGAATGACCCGGGGCCAGGCAGTGGCAGCGTAATCACAGCTACATTGTTTCAGTCATTTTCAGTTGTAAAGGACGGAATTTCTGAAATACAAAGAAAATCCCATTGCATTTTCACACACACACAAAAAGTGGCCATCTCATTGTAGGCAGACATTGGCATTTACCTTCTCATGAGTATATGAGTTTTACTCCAGTTAACGTAAATTTACTGTCTCTTACTCCGTGTTAAGTCATGTTTATTTACCTACTATGTTTACTCTTCTGTGTAAAGAGCAAAATGATAATCTTAATAAAAGGCACCAGCTCCTTACAGGTTTGACATGAGTTTGACAACCTCTGATATGGAATGTCCTTATTAATTATGAGAATAAAGTAGTTTTTTTTTTTTTTTAAATAAGCTATTAAGCCAATCTTGCAGCTAGCTCATTTTATGTTACAAATACTCGACAAATAGACAACAAATTTATCAGCTGGAAGAAATCAACTTACCACTCTTACTAAATGGTTGTGCCTCAAGGTCTGTAAATGAAGCAGTAATGTAAATACAGGAGTTTTATTCACCATTGACCTTCACTGACAACAACTCACTTTGCATCTGAGAAGGCACATCTGGCATGGCATAAGCCTAATGAGACCTATTTAGTGTGTTAAGCTCTGTAATGTGTCACAAAACAACGTGCAAGCAAATACAAGTACATGCTGTCTTTTTTGCCTTACTCTAAGGAAATCCAGCACAGATTCTTTTCTCTCACTGCTTTTCTTTCACTACAGAGAAGTTGCTTATTTTAGCATCGTTCCATCTCTGAGTAAAGAGCAGAGAGTTTGTTTTGATGCTGTCCACACTATTATGCCTGTCTGCCAGTGTTATGTACGAGCTGCAAACACAAAGGGACACACATTTTATCATTGGGCCATCAGGAGAAAATATCCTTACATAGATCTCCAATTTTTAACTACATCTACTAGAATAATCAAGACAGTGACAGTATCAAGGAAATAGACAAATCACTGTTATGCTATAGATACAAAATATAATAGACTGAAAAAATTTTACATAGAAAATATACCTGCCCAAATTCTCCCCAAACCTTTTAAAAGACCTCTGATAGTCTGTAGACTTTTGATTTAAGTTTCAAAAAGTATGTCTGGTAATTCCCTTGCCAGAGTGGTTCACAGAAACAGAGTGATAAGGGTGAATTGCTCTCCATGGGTTTGACGTTAGTCTTTTCATCAGGCAGAGGAGTAAACATTTAGATATCTTGATCTTGGCTGAACCCCTGCTGCCAGCAATGTCTCATTCTTTTACAGATGATTCACTTAGCTCTCTGTGGTTAACCCAGTCTCTCTCCTAGATGGAGTCACTGGATGAGCTTTTTTTGTTCTGATTTAACGTGTGTGAAGCCTTTGAACTAGACTACAGAGCATGCAATAATCTGTCCAGATGATTTCTCATCTGAAGAAGATTTCTCTTCTAGATAAATTTTTAAAGTGGATATCAATGCCATTTACTTTTGATTGTTTCTTTACCATAAAATAATTTCTGGATCAGTGATTCTGAGTTCTTTTAGGGTCTTGTGGCAGACGACCATTCATTCAAGTTTTCCAGTCCACTGTCACTACATGCATGCTCAAGCGTGGCAAGCCAAACTGATAAGGCATATACATGTACATGGCATATCAGTCTGGTAAAGAGCTGGTAGAGCTTGATTTCAGACTGGACTAATAGGGTCAGCGTTACCAGGTTAGAACCAATCAGATAACTACTGATATGATACAAAAACTCAAAGCAATACACTTTGTTTTAGTAACTTTGTTAGTCTGAAGAAACTTGTCAAGCCGTCGCAGAAACTCTCCAGTGAATAATTTCTTCAGCTTTTGCCTAAAAAAATCTGAGGATATACAGCGTGCTCTTGATTTTCATTGCAAAATTGCTTTGTTGCGCTCATCACCTTGTTTTTATGCTAGCAGAAAGGTGATGCTATATCATGGGGATTCTGGTGCTGAGAGTCACGCATCGTAAGATCCTGCCTCCCGCGATGCGATTGGTCCAGACAGATCTGGCAGGAGTCAACAGCGTGTTTAACAGACTTAATTACGCTATGTGTAATTCAGTCTGTTTCTACAGTCACAACAAAACTACAGTACCTGCTGTCACTTCATCCAAGCAGAGGGAACATTGTATATCAGTGATTCAATGCAATGTGCTGGGGTTGGTTTGGTAGAAAACGTCTTTAGTAATTTTAATAATAAACTGAACTCCACTTTATTGTTTATTAACTAGTTTGTAATTAGAAAGTAAGCATTCAGCTTGAAGTTTTTTTTATGATACTATTGTCTTTCTGTGTTTATAAATTACCTGGAGAAGATGTTTTGTAAAGATAAAATATTTGAACATAACTGTTCATTTAGGTGGATATTGTGCACAACTTATCTATATAGCAGCGAGGCAAGCCTTCTTACTTATAGCTGTTAACCTGTGAGTGCCGCACACACGGTATGTGAGCGTGAGGCAATGTTCTTTACTGCCTCTGTTATTATGAGCAGCTTTGTGATCACAGGTCGGGTCAACTTTTATTATTTACGGATCTGAGCAGTCCCAGCCAGGTTTTAAATGGGGATAATGGTGGCTAACAATTCGGGTCTCGGTCCTGAACTCTACGGGTGCGGGCGGATAGTGTTTTGAAAAATCAGACCCGAGCAGGACTCTGGAATGATTTATTACTCTAGAAATAAGCAGATAAAGAGCCTCCACCTCCTGAGGAGGCTTCTATGACTCTGTGGTGGCATCAGCCCTCCTCTAAGGTGTTGTCTGCAGGGCTCCTTCTAGCACGGAGTGGCACAGAAAGAGACTGAACAAACTAGTGAGAAAGACCGTTTGGGTCCTAGGCTGCATTCTGGACTAAGTGGAGGAAGTGGCTGAGAGAAGGGTGCTGTCCAAGCTCACATCCATCAAGGACAACACCTTCCACCCTCTGCACCCGACTGTAGAGGAGCTGAGCCGCTCCTTTAGTGAAAGACTTTTACACTCTGTCTGTAAAAAGGAGCGCTACCCCAGGTCACTCATCCCTGCTGCAACCAGACTCTACAATGTGACACTACAATGGCAATAACTTGTGCAATGTATAATATGCAATTACTATTTCATACCCTGTGCAATAACCCGTTTCTCTATACTTGACACCCACTGCAATAACTAATAAACACCCATGTAAACACCCTGTGCAATAACCCTGTATAAAAATCCTACTAGAAAAAAAGAAAGCTGTCATATGAGGATGCACTGTATATACTGTATATATCCCATGCACTTTGTTCTTCCTTTGACACGTTCTTCTCCTCCTTTGACTATTTGAGCTGATGTAACGAGTCAATTTCTCCACTGTGAGATAAAAAATAATAATCAATCAATCAAGATAGATTGTATAGTTGTCATAGGGACCCTGCAATGTCTTTGTGCATCAAGTAATATAGAGGGCTGCACGGTGGCAGTGTGTAGCAATGTTGTCTTCTGGATTCAATTCCTAGCCCAGGGTCTTTCTGCATTCAGTTTGCATGTTCTCTCAGTCCATGTGTGGGTTCTCTCTGGGTACTCTAGCTTCCTCCCACAGTCCAAAAACATGACTGTTATCCATAGGTGTGAGTGCATGGTAGATTCTGCAAAAGACTAGCGACCTCTCCTGGGTGTAGCCCGCCTCTCGCCCTTAGACTGCCAGAGATAGACACTGGCCCCACAGTGACTCTGAAGAAATATGTTGGAGAAGATGGATGGATGGAAAATTATATAAAAACATGGAGATGATTCAACATGTCTCTGCTACTTTAAGTACAAAGAAAACAGATAAAAAGCTTATAAAATTAACTCCTTGGTCTCTGAGGTAATTTTTATGAGGCACAAGTAGCAAGAAAAGGAGACTGGAGAATCACAGGAAAATCACAACATGTAAAAAATAGCATACTAGCAGTCTTTAACTGTTTAAATTGTGAGCCAGAACAACTGATTTTGTTTATTAAATAAAGTTGCTTGCACATATCAAGCGTCCAGCGTTCTGAGGTAATTTGTGACAGCAATCAGAGATAAGATGCTATAAGACCCCAAAGTGATATAAAATGAATTTATTCCCTACTCATCTGTTTTCCCATATATCTAATTTAGTATGACATTGGAAAATTTAAAAAAAGTTCTGAATAAAACAACTGCTGTTTCTCATATTTTTATTGTTGGTTCCAAATTGAAAAATGAATTATATATATACTATATACTATACAGCTTACAAAACTGTTTTTGTATATAGTAACTGAAATGTTAAAAGATGCAAAATGATGATGATGGCCTGAATTATTTAAGTAACTAGCTCTAATCTGAATAATGAACTGTTTATATAACAATGAATCAGTACCACTATATGAAGAGTTAGATTTGTTTATCTTCTAATATATTTCTTTATTTCAAATTCATCATCACAAATTTGTAATTTTAATACAATTGCTTAAAAGAATAGCTTAACAACTAAGATCATCCTTCCGCCTTATAAAGGGATTGGACTCATTTGCTCAGCTTACTTGTGAGACTTTTTCCAGTTAGCTCCACTGGGCCCGTCACCGCAGTCGTAAGCTTGGATGATAAAGGTGTACTCCTTCTGATTCTCACAATCCACATGGCTGCTAGCTCTTAAGATTCCTTCTCCTGATGTGCGATTCAACACCACTGCCTCAAAAGGGGCGTCCTGACCAAAGATCTTAAAGGAACAAATCTCCCCTGGAAGAGAAACAAAGAAAAAAAAGAATAAAAGAACTGAATTTTAACAGTTACAGTTAAAAAAAACAACAAATCAAGTGATTGGTCATTTATTTGAATTAATATGAGTGTTTATTTCAGGATTTAAAGCCAAGTGTGCTGCTGAATCAACTAAGACACTTTTAAACAGCAACTAAAAATAGGAATGGTGCAAAAAGATTTTTGAGGTTTTTAAAAAATCAACAAGTATTAAAATGTCTTGAAAAAACAACAACAACAAAAACAACAACAGTAAAGCATGCTGGCATGTTTGAAAAAACACAATTGCCCCGACTGTGTTTCTAATGTGGATTCAGTCTGCAGAAAACAAGGAGATAACATTAAATACAATCTTGAATAATATCTTTTCTTTCTCTTGTCCCCCCCACCCCCCTCCTCTTCACCAAAGTAATTTAACCAAACCCAGCAGCAGCTCAGAAACCACTCAGAGTTGGAGAGAATTCAAACAGGAGGGTAATGAATCAAAACTAACTACAAAAACATCAGCCTGCTTTTTCTTTTTTTCACCGTTCTCCATCCACATATTTTAAAAATCTTAAACTCTTTTTTTACTTAAACTCAACTCTTTGAATCCCATTCTTCAGTATAATATTGGTCCTGTCAATAACAGAAAGCTTCAAGGTTTGATTCTACAAGGCCAGGTTTATGAGTTTTAAAACATAGTGTGTGCAAAGAAGGCAAGGCCATTCCAGAGATGCAGTTCAATACAGATGTATAGGAAAATAATGCTATACATAGCAGTTATTAAAGAAGGGAAGGAAGAATGGCCTTGAACATACCTCTACTTACAAATCTTTATACAAAGTGAAGAACAAAAAAATCACCAACAACGTGAATGAATATAGTAGTGCTACCTTTATGCATAAACCGTGACATTCTGGTGGAAAGGGGAAAAAGATGCTTCTACAGTACTTAACACTGAGGATGAATGTAAGTCCATTTTCTGCTCCATCTGTTGCAGGAAATGCATTTTCTTGGATTGCTTTTTATATGTGAACATGACAGAACGGTGGAGAGTAGGGAAGGAAATGAGGGGAAATGTAATGTACCAATGTATATGTAAATGCTGATGGACATTTTTGACGGTTAAATCATATTTTCAACACTTGCTCACAGTCACATTCCTGCCTTTAACTTTGCTTTACCAGACAGAACAAAGCATTATTTCCCTACTGCAGGGCATTAAATAACTCCATTTTTTGTTATAATTTTTTATCCTTTGTAGAGCCCTGCAAAAGTATTTATACCCTTTGAGTTTTTTAACATCCTGTCATAGTTGCTACATACTTGAGTGTATCTTCTTGAGGTGTATTGTGATAGCCATTATGATTGATGCAGGCAGAACTGTGTAGCAGCAGCAGCAGCAGCAATTAGAGCTGAAATCATTGCCCTTTTTCCTTTTGTGTTTTTAATTTGCTACATCTAGAAACAAATATTTAATTTTCGTTCTTTGCAAAATCGCACAACCTCTTTTAGATTAAAATAAGAAGTTTTCCCTTTTCAGAGGAGAAAGCAATGGACATATACAAAATTTTGAATATTGTTTGACAGTAAGTCTCTGACTGAAGTCAAAGAGGACAACGACTATAAACATACAACCGGAGCTGAAATGGAATGGTTATTATCCATACATATTGAGGGATTACATAAGGTTTACAGAAGTTCTACATGCAGCCTGACTGACAGTGATATTCAAAAAGACTCTTAGCTATAAATGGTGCAACAAGCTTCTCTCCACACTCTTCAGATTGTTGCACTATTTAGAGCTGAAGGTCTAAAAATGGTGCAAAAAGCTTTTCTCTACACTTTCCCAGTTGGTACTTGAGAAATCCTCTAAGCCAATGTATCATTCACTTTCATCAACACAACTATGCACAGCTCATAAAATCAAACACACAAATACCTCCAACTGTAAGATGACAAGGTTAAGGTGGTTTCAAGGTAATACACATCTCAATAGATTTGTTTGAAAGAGCAGGCGACACATTTCCACGGAGCACTAAAAGAGAAGCCAACAAATCAGCCCAAAAGGTCCAATAATAACAGTCAACTAAAATAGATGGTACTCCGCAGGAAGCATGAGCACAATAAACTCCATCCAAAGGAAATGTCAAGCTGTCAGGAAATATGTATTTCACAAAATGCTAAATTGTTAATATAATGGAAACAGACAGGATGAGCACGATTAATGAGAAAATTATTCTCCATGAGCGAACGTGTTGTCACAAGGAGCCAAAACTAATTTGTGTATTCCCACTGTAAAAGGACTTGACAGAGCATTTAATTTCTTCCAATTTTATTTCAATTTGTCGAGTTTACCAGTTGCTCACATTTTGTTTTGAATCACACTGAGAGATTAATCAAACTCATCTGTATGTAGGAGAAACAAAAAAGAATCCCTTCAAATAGAAGTCAGTGGCATTCATTTTTTCATTATTTTTTTTTAAACATATCTAAAACATTCAATAAGTTGAATTCCTTTTTAATGGACATACACATTTAATATAGGCTAGATTTTTTTTGTATCAAGCAGATAAGCAAAGATTATCTTTTACTGGTCTGGACTCCTTTAAAATAATAATTAGACACAAATGCAAGGATTTGTAAATAAAACAGATTACATCTTTAACAATACAACCCAGAGTTGAAGAAGAGCAGATAAACGGTGGCAATTTATTTCTTAGTGTTTGCAAACAGAATTGTGAAAACATTAGGAAGTTATCCCCGGAGTAAACTTTATGAACAACCTCTGAGTCAAACTTTAAAATAGAACCAGAAGATTGAAATCTCTTCTCAATAAAACACTGAGGAAAATCTATCCGCTGAGTTTCTTCTTTGGTGCAGAGTGCAAGATGCCAATTTTTCATCTCATACCGAGTTTTGTGAATTTGGTGGGAGACAGCAGTAAACCTGGATTAAGGGAAGTTCAGAGCATGTAAATATCAGCTGGACTTAGGCCTTTACTCTGTTACTCTCCTTTATTGCACACATTTCATTGATGTCTTTACATGTTTACTTTAAATAAAGATTGGATTGGACTAAATCTACTATGATATGTTTTTATTCACCGTATACTTAATTTCTACTGATGTTTACTGTGACAGATTTCTGCAAAGGGACCTCATGTAATAGCAACCGCTGTGGAATATGAATGCTTTTATAAAACAACCTTGCTCTACTGCTTTTTTTCTTTATTTAAGGATCTCTGTAAAACACCAAAGAACGGGATGTTTTTTGTTCGTGCAGATACTAGTTTTGTCATGTATAATCTAAAAATCCTATTATGCTGCGCCGTAAAATACCATTCCTGGATTAGGTGTTTATACCCTTTTCATTTCCTGTTTTTCTTTTAGATTTTTTAAAATTCTGACGGCAAACAATTTTTTTTAGATTTGATAAATAATGCGACTGATCAATAAAAATGCTGCATACTGTAGTTGTAGAGCTGTGGATTGAGCTGAGTGTTTCTGTGGACTACAAATACTCAGGTACTTTATGAAAAAGGCATGTGTAAATTTGACTTTTCTACAAGCTCAGACCAAAAGCTCCTAATACTGTATCTGTAGTAGGATTTGCTGGAGATGTTTAGTCTAATTCCCAAAATCAGTCCTTAGTGTCTGGTTCCATCTTCTTCTCAGTAATGGGTTGGCGTGTTGAAAGAAAGGTGAAGGACTCAAAAAAAAAACTCAGTAAACTCTGCAGCTCCTCTGAGTGCATATCTGCCTTTTTGGTACAGTAAGTGTAATCCGGCAGAAAGATTTGCTGTTGTGCCATATTCTTATAACTTTCAGACTATGGACTGAACAGTGCTTTGTGAGATATTCAAAGCTTCTGACATGGCTTTAACAAAAGCTTTCCAAAAAGACTTTAAAAAGTTTAAAAACAAACCACTGGACTTTGTTTTCCAAGTTTGAAGACGTTTCGCTTCCAATTCAGAAAGCTTTCTCAATTCAAAATGTCTGTAGTTGTCATGATCTGGCCTGTTTGCTCTCCCTTAATTAGTCATTCCTTTCACCTGTCGTTTTTCCCTCCCTGTCTCATTATAATTTATTCCTCTCACCTGTTTCCTCTAGTTTATATTCAGTTCAACCGGAGCATTCAATGCCAGATCATTGCTTGTCTTTCTGCTTGTCTTTCTGTTCAGTTTTATTTGGTTCATGTCCTGGATCCTAGCTGCCAGTGGAAAGAGGGTTTTAGTGTTTGTCTTGTCTCCTGGTTGTCCACTGTTCCTCCCCCGTGGAGTCCTCTGGGTTTTTGATTCATTATGGGGGGAGGTTCAGTTTTTATCAAAGTAAGCCTGGCTCCAGGAGGAGACCAGTTTAAAGTCCTGCTTCAAGTTCCGGTTCCTACGTCCTGTCTCAGCTACCCTCTTCCACTGAGCCTGCCTGTCTTCACCTGATCCTGTCTGCTCCTGTGCGTGACCACCTGGTCATGCTTCTGGTCCCAGTCTGACTCTGAACCCTCCTGGGAGCCTGTGGATGCCTGGAAGTCTGGATCCTGCCACCTGTTTCTGTTCCTGCCTGATCTGGATCCTGCCTGTTCCTGTCTGTTCTGGATCCCTCACCAGGATCAGCTTCCAGCATAACCTTTGGGACTGCAGCACTGGGGACACTCGTGGTCCGGACTGTTAAACCAGGTAAATGACCAACCCAGATAATCATATATCAGTTTATCGTGGTCACTTACCTGTGTTTCCTCCCTAGAGTGTCTGAGATTGGGCGGTGCCCCGCCCCCCCGCCTGCAGTGTCCGCGAGCCACAGCTCCACTTTTGTTTTGTTTTATTTAATAAACGTTTTAACTTTCCTACTGACTGTCTCTCCTTGAATACTGGGTACATCTGTCCTCTTTTCTTGACAGTAGTAGGGTTTGAGTTCCAGGTTTATAGAGTGGCACAAATAAAAGACTTGTTTGGGCTTAGAAAAAGCCATAACAAGTAACAACGGGAAAAGTGTAACAATGGG